TCTATATCCGAACTAGCGGTTGGTTTGAACGTTTGAGCACATGAAGCCAGAGCAAACTCAACCCATTTGGAGGCCTAAAGAAAATTTTAAAATGAGGCATTTAAAATGTATTTTAAAATAATAATTTTGTGGTTGCTAAGAACTGAACTCAAGACCAAAAAGAAAAGAGGCCTAAATTTTACCAACTCAACTATGATAATTTATGTGACTAATGTGTCATTATATATTATTATAACTAAAAAAAATTTGAGGTCTTTTTTAAGCCTAAACTTTTGAGGCCTAAAGCCCTAGCCTAGGTGGCTTGGCCTTGGGCCGGCCCTGCATGAAATAACCGAGGTAGAGTTCAGTGTAGAAAAAGATGCTGCCATATTATTCTAGAATAGAAAGAGAAACGCAATTCAACCATGATACAACAAAACATACAAGCTCAGAAGTAGAAGTAGAAGACAGTGTAAAAGAAGAAGTAGAAACAAAACACACGGTAAAAGAAGAAGTAGAAACAAAACATACAGTAAAAGAGAACATTACCTGAAGGTTGTGAGTAGTTGGTCGTCGGAGTGAAGTAGCGAAAGGGTGGAAGCAGAACAGCGGAGGGGAGAAAGGGTGGAAGCACAACGGCGGAGAAGAAGAAAAGATGGAGGCAGGTTAACGTTAGGGCACGATTCACGAATGAGAGAGTAAATAGAAAAATTTCTGTTTTAAAACTAGGGTTATTATAGTAATTTTGCCCAGATTAAAAAAAAAATCGGAATCCGCTCAGCTTGGGAAAAACCCGCGACCCGGTTTAGCGGCCTTAGCTCCCACGATTTGTTCAGCACGACCGCACCCAGGTTCTCGTGCAGGGAGTGCCGCCCCGGCCGGTGCGCCCGGGATAGCGGCCTTAGTGGCCGCGATTCACAACTCTGGTTGTTGTATTATACATGTTGTTGTTGTATTATACATGGACTTTTCTCTCCAGGACTTCAGATAAAAGTATATATCATGCTTCATTTTGCACAATTTGTGAATACCCTTTGTAAAGAATACTCTCTCTGTTTCATTTTAAGTGCCCTATTTGAGTTATGCAGTAATCTTTAATTGTGTTGACTTTATTGATGATGAATTTTATTTATACTAGAATGCCAAAATACACTTATTAGTAGTTGTTAATAGAGTAGTTAGGTGAGTTGAGATACAATATATAAGAGTATATTTGTGGAAAAACTAATAAATGATGCATTGATATTCTAAAAGAACATATAATTTGAAACATAAAAATATTGTAAAAATGACATTAACAATGAGACGAAAAAAGTATGAGTTGAGGAAAATTTTCTAATACTGTCTCTATGTGTGAATACATTTATTTTATGGAGGACTATGTTGTTAATCTCGGAAGGTGGCGCGGCACGGTCAACCCAAAAATGGGAGCGGCGCGGGCGCTATTTTAGCGACGCAGACACTAAGAACTTAATGACACTTACATGTTGAAAACATACTAGCAAATACCCCCAAAAAATCAAATTTCATTAAGTCTTGGCAATAAAACCTTCCAAACACATAATAGCATAAGTCTTAAGCAAAACATTGAAACATACTTCCAAATAACAATAAAATTCAAGAAAACAACACTTAAGCATCTATAACTTCATTCTCTTCATCTTCACCTCCACAACCATGGGTTATTGGTATCAATATCATCATCCATGACCACAATCAATTCATCACTCTCAAACCGCTCTTTCAAAGTTTGATTATACTTAAAAACCAAGTCTTGCAACATTTGATTGTACTTCAAATCTGCACCATACATACCAATAGCTTCGACCATCATTTTGAAACTTTTTGAATTTGCAACATCGAAATCAATTCTATTCTGATAAAAGAAACGAGCTATGTTTGCCTTCAAGTTTGTTTGCCTTCCCTTTGTATTCTTCTTGGATGATGATGGTTGAGTAAAATTAGTAGTAGGAGGAGTTGTCATGGCTGTTGGTAGAGGCAGAAATCACATAACAGAATCAAAAAACAAAACAACAGAAGCAGGAATAAAGATGATGATGGTGCAGAACCAAAATATCTGAAGCACAGTTGATGATGTGGGATGGAGAGAAGAGAACGATGGAGCAAACAGATCGATGATGGTGATGGACGATGGAGAGCTGCGTGGAGATGATGATGTGTGAAGGAGAGAGGTGTATCGTACGAGAAAGCAAACCAAGCGGTTACAAAAATTAGGGTTTTTAAGTTAAATTTTTTTACCCGACCCGGCCCAGTTTGCGAAAACAGGAAAAGCGATTGGTTCGGGTCGCATCCGAACCGCTCTAGGACCTAATTTCGCGGCCGCTCAAGCCGCTTCTCCATTCCGCGCTGCACCGGTACCACCGGAAGCGGCCTTGCCGGAATTTCCGCACGCGCCGCTATAGCGGTCGCTCCAGCCACTTTTAACAACATAGATGGAGGACAAGTAGCTTGCATGACCTCTCATTGGTATTGAAACTTCTCGAAGTTTTGTTAAGCATTGTTAAGCGCTAAAATATTTTTCTTGTAAAAAGGAAAATATGTGTGTGATTTAAACTAGGTTGTTATTCTTTCATAGACGATCTCTAGCTTTGAAATGATCATTTTCTGTTTTAGAGGGACTTTAGCAATTACTTGAAAAAAGGAAGAAAAGGGCCGGAGGAATTGTAGTCTGTTTAATTGTATCAGTTTGGTTGAACAGTTGGACTGACTTTATTATTTGTGCATGACTATCTTTATATCATGAATTTCATGTGGTTGAATTTGGAGTTCTTACGATTATTCATGTTTTAATATATTGAGTATTCATAATTCTTATTTTGGCAGGCAGCAAGATGTTAGGGCTACTGAGATTGATAAAGTAGACATGCACTTATCTTTTCGTCCTGGTGACATTGTTAGAGCTCTTGTGGTACTATTACTGCTTTAAGAGATTTATAAGTTAACTTCAAAACTTGCAAATTGCCCTCAAGTCAATTGGTTGTCAATTGGTTGCTACTTGAATAACACTTTAACTTGATCCTTCTTTATCAGCTTTCACTTGGAGATGCGCGGGCGTACTTTCTGACAACGGCAAAGAATGAGCTTGGTGTTGTTTCTGCAGAAAGCAGTGCTGGTGAGATTGTGTTCATATTGTGGGAGGTTCACCCTCCTATATGTATTTTTAGTTTGCTTTTTCCTTTCCTAGTTTCTCTTGAGCAGGTTCCCTCTACTTTCATCACATATCTTTGATATGAGTTACAACAATTTATCATATACTGCCTCCGTCCCAAAATAAGTGTCACATTTAGGAAAAAAATTGTTCCAAAATACTTGTCATTTTAGATTACCAATGCAATTTTATATTTAATCTTCCAATTGTATCCTCTAATTAATACTCTTGATTTATTGTTTTCTCATTTAACATTAATGCTAATTTGAATATACTAATAGTTAATCAGGATAATTTGACAAAGTCACTATTCTCTCTTATAATAACACTCACAGGTTGTATGAGTGAATGGGTTGGTGAGGTAAGGGTAGGCTTTGGGTTGCTGCTTTATTTATAGCTTTGAACTAATGTGCTAATTTAAATCGGAATCTCAATTAGTCATGACTGAAAGAATGTGACTAGAGAGATAAGCTTGGATTTGTTTTATATTTTACGTCTTGTTAGGCAAAAAAACTGATGTAAACTAAATTTTTAGAGTTAGTTATTAGAGTTACTTGTATTTGAGGGAGAGTTTGTTAAAGTTTGTTACGCGCCCTGCATATAAACATGCATCATTATTGAGATCAATGAGGGAGTGGATTAGCTTACATCAGTTAAGGGCAATGCTTGTACTTTGGCCTAGGTACCTGATTTGAATTTTGGCTTTTCATGCATTCCCACAACATGAATAGCTCCCTTATGTTCTATGTTCCTAATGCTGTTTCATCTTATGGGCAGCAAGCACAGAAATAAATTGTATTTTAAGTTGCAAGCTCGCCGTTGCAGGTGCTATTAACAGTTGGGGATTTTCATATTTGGCGGGCAGTATGAAAACAAACTGTTTTTGTTTTAAGCTTATCTGACTGGACACTCTTTTTTAGTTTCCTACACTGTATACACAGTCAAATTCATGTGTGCTTCAACCAGTTGTACTTTGTTTGTTTAGGTGCAACTATGGTTCCAATAAGCTGGACTGAGATGCAGTGTCCGCTATCTGGTCAAGTGGAACAACGAAAAGTGGCAAAGGTTGCAAGCTGACAAGATTACTAAAGATCAAACTGGAATACATTATCCCCTTCAGCTGAAAAGATCTTGTAGTTGTAGAAATCTAGTAACATTCCTCATTGTTAGAGTGAGAAATTATATCTAAGCAGTTTTGTAGCCATACCAAAACACAAGCCTGTAATTTTTCCTTTTACACTGCAAATTGTTTTACTTCCAAAATAGCATTGACGCATGATTTGATTTCATTCATATTATGACTGGATTTAACTTTTCATTTCTCCATTAAAGTCTAAGCGCTAATACAGTACTGTTTAATAGCATTGTAAGGCTTCAATTATCAACTTGGAATGAAATCATTTTTGTTTTGTTTTTCCTTTTCTAATTCCAAATGAAGGTGACAATGATGAAGTTTTAAAGAAGGCGTTGCGAGCCTTAGCCCCAATGCCATGATTTTAACTCCAATGTTGAACAAAATCAATTTACTTCCACGTACTGGAAATTTATTATTTTCCCTTGTTCTTATTATGCATACAGCTCAAGTAACTGATTAAATAGTCAAACTTATTTTTCTAACAAACAAAAATCAAATATATTGAAGTTACGCTTTAACGAACAATGCTCAAAATGTGAAGTTTCATAAATTGCAATTTTTTTTTGGATTTTTTCCCTACAAATAGAAACACGTTATCTAGTTTGTGATAAGTGAAGTGACTTGCAAATTTAACCTTTTCTGTGGGAGTTTCCGTGGCTGAAACATAATGTTACACTAGACTTGATAGCTTCATATCTTCATTCAATCAAGGTTGAGATGAAACCAATGGCTTCACCTTCTCTTCAATTTCATCTACTTCCGTCTCTCTCCAAATTCCAGTCTTCAATATCCCCTCTTTCCCAACACCACACCCATCCATTCACTTCCACAACCTCACTCAGATTCACTTCCACCAATTCCACTACTACTTTTACTCCCAAACCCCTCTCTCCGTGTTTCGCTCTAACAGAGTCCAACTCGCCTAATTCCACACAACCCGACCCCAAAACTCTTCTCCAAGACATTGCCGTAAGCCATTCATTTTGGTTCTGTTTCAAATTTCAATTTCAAAATTATTATTATTTTCCATATTTGAAAATTCCCAATTCACGTTGCAGGACAGTTTTGATCTTCCTTCTGATTACTTTGCAAAGTTTCCAAACGATCTTCGATTAGATGTAAGTATAGTGCAATCCTTTGCTCCGTGTAGTTTAACTCGCCACAACTTTCTATTATTAACAAATACCAAAATTAACAGTGTTCATTTACTTTGTACTCGTGTTTGTGATCTGTAAAAGCTAAATGATGCTGCGTTCGACCTTTCAAATGGACCTGTCTTGGATGAGGTTAGTATTTATGTAGTACGTACTTCAAACTGAAGGCGTGTGTGGTGTCTGAAAAGTGTATGTGCCGGACACCAATACTACATTGATTGATACATGTTGCATTCAATCACTCTAAAATTTTGAAATTATTATTAGTGTCTATGTGTTTGTTTTCAGTCTTGGTAAGTAATTCATAGCTTACTACATCCAATGTAGATTCATGTTAAATTTTTTTGGTACAATGCTAATACTTTATCCTCTTTAGTCTTTGCTTTCTTCTAGAACAATTCAGTTTTTGGTTATTTGCTTCAAAACTAATTGATAAGTAAGTGTTGACGAAATTAGCATTCTTTGCTAACTGATTTCTTAGTTGTAATACACTGATAAGATGATTTCATGTGTTTATATTTTTTTAGAAAAGATGGTGGAAAATAGATTTAGGTGGTTTAGGCATGTAGAGAGAAGACATGTAGATTCTGTAGTAAAGAGAATAAATCAGATGGAGGGGAGTCAAGCAACTAGAGGTAGAGGAGACCTAGAAAAACTATTAGAGAAGTTTTAAGAAAGATCTCAAGATTAACGATTTGGATAGACCCATTTTCCTACATAGAACACTACGTGTGAAATTGATCTCACTTAGTGGGATAAGGCTTGGTTGTTGTTGTTGTTGTTGTTGTTTTATATGTTTTTATTTATTTTTTCTTTTCATTTTCAATCAATGTACTCATGGAAAATTCAGTTGCACCATTTAGGGTTTACATGTATGTAAACTTTGTGCTAATCCGTTGGTTGCCTCCAAAAAAGGCCTCTACTATTTGTCTTGAGTATTTCCAATTCCAAAATAGAATTTGTTTAACGGGAATGAGTATATTTTCTTAGTGTGGCAAAGAGTTAGGAGAGACATTGCTAAACCTCTCTCGAGCATGGGAGCTTGCTGATACATCATCTTCTCGCTCTTTAGTGGCAAAGCTTCCTTTGATTGAGGCTAGTTTGACAGGCACTGCCAAATCAGGTAATTGCATGAGCAAATTATCGATAAGCTTATAATTGGGAACTTCTTCAACAAACCTGTCTCTGAAATTTACGGGGGATTTAGCTTGAAGATCTCTTTGTTCTCTTTGCTGCATAGCACTTGGAAAGCGTATGGTGTCGGCTGGAAGAAGGTTTCAGTCAATGGGGCAATATGGCCAAGGTGAGACACAAAAGGTATTTACACTACTCAATATGTGTTGGTAGTTCTCTAGCTTCTGTGAAGTAAATGTACTGAGAAAATGATTGACATTTTTAGGGAATAACTAATATCCAAATAGAATGAAAGCAGATTATGCTCCTTTGTTGTATATCGCTTTAATCATTAACTAGAATCAACTCGAACAAAGTTTTCAATAAGTACTTGGAGGAAAAGGAAAGTTGAAATCATTTTCACTGACCATAAGTTTGTTAAATAGGAGCTTCCTGCAGAAGTTGAAATAAGCTTCTAAAATCATCTTTTTCAGATGCTCTATCATGTAGAGCTTCTTTGTATCTATAAACATAAGAGATTTTTTTCCATTAGTTAAGAAATATAAACTAAATACTTATCTAAGTTGAGAACCCCTTGTAGGTTAGAAACTAATTCAAATTAGGTCCTAATCTTGTTTGTTACGGGTCATTTACCCTCTATGAAACGAGCTTAATTTCCTTTACGAATTATTTTTTCTCTATGAAAACATGTATTATATTGAAACAAATTTAGAATGTCGAGCTGTTACTAGGTTCAATTTGGAAATCAATGAACCATAAAAGTATTTGTGTATAAACATGATTTTTTTGTTATATTTACTACATAGTATGTGGTTTATAATTGGCCATGCCAAAACATAACATGCTTTTGCAGTGAGCCAGTGACTAATGGCTAACATAGATCATATCAATCTTCTGAATAACTGTCACAGGAAATACATTTCCTAACAATTAATGTGTTCACTCTATAGTTTATTTTCCTGTTTTTTACATTCCGGTTTCCATTTAGGTGTAGCATGTGTTACTCACCTCCATCAATCGAGTTGTCCTCATACGCCTCAATAAAATAGTGTTGTTGAAAGAAAACATAAATACATTGTTGACATTGCTCATACCCTTTTGCTAAATGCCAACCTCTAAAGTTTTGGAGTGATATTGTTGTTAAGAGTTTTACATTGGACAATATATGGTCTGAACATGTGCTTATAAGTAGGGATAAATCCTCACCTTACAAGTCGGTTTTGTAGGATTGAGTTAGGCCTAACTCACACATTCTAAGATGGTATCAGAGTCTCATCTAAGATCCATTGGGCCACTCACCATTTTAGTTCCACGCTCCAGACGCAATTCCTGGGCATGAGAGAGGGTGTTAAGAGTCCCACATTGAACAATATATGGCCTGAACTTGTGTTTATAAGTGAGGGCAATCCTCACCTTACAAGCCGATTTTGTAGGGTTGAGTTAGACCTAATTCACATATTTTAATATGGTATCAGAGTCTCATCTAAGATCCATTGGGCTACCCACCATTTTAGTTCCACGCTCCAGACACAATTTCTGGGTGTGAGAGGGGGTGTTAAGAGTTCTACATTGGTGGCCTGAGGGCAATCCTCACCTTACAAGCCGGTTTTGTAGGATTGAGTTAGGTCCAACCCACACATTCTAAGAGCTGTTTTTACTGCCGAATATTTAATTAACCGGATGCCATCTGCCGAATATTTAATTAACCGGATGCCATCCTCGCTGTTGAATGATCAGGTTCCTCATTCTCTAGTGCACCCTGCAAATCCCTTATACGTTGTTCCATCTCCTGTCTAAAATGTCTGATCCCTTATACGTTGTTCCATCTCCTGTCTAAAATGTCTGCTCGTGCTATCAATGTGTGGGAGATTGACTTTTTGCCTTTTTTCCATGTTTCATCCAATTTAGTCATTCTTTCGTCCAGAATACTATTTCGACCATTATTATAAACAAAAATTCTCTTTTTAGGTTCATTGAATAATGAATGTATTTGGTCTTTTATGTAGACCAGATACATTCATTACTCAATGAACCTAAAAAGAGAATATTTGCTTATAATAATGACCGGAGGAAGTACTTATTAAGGTCTGAAAACAACAGAAACATAATACCAAAGCATAAAACATAACAAAATGATGGAAAAGCGGATAAAAACGCCGAAATAACAAAGTGAAACTACTAATAAAATCGATAAAAAAACTACTTATCAAACTCCCTCAAACTTGGACTGTTGCTTGTCCTCAAGCAACAAAGCTTGCATAACGGATTTTTGAATCAAGCAAATCATCAAATAAAAGAGATTATGAAAGATGAAGCATGCCGGTACTCATACGTGAGTCTTTGTTCAGAATGGATAGAGACTAGTTTTTCTGGTACTCATCCCACGCCAAGAGTTTTTACGAGAACAACGCAGTGAGACTACGGACCTAAGTTTTTCTTTTGGATATCTCTTTAACTATGTTTTGTACTTGAGTCTTATTTCTGACGTTCCACCCTTTTCATTCGGACAATCAAATTAAGGCAATAAGAATTATGATAATCACACGCACAAGGTTGATTGCGAATTTTTTTTAATCACTAGATATGCAACACTTGTTATCTTTATCCATCGATGAAATTTTTAAAACTTTCCGTTTATATATTGTCCTTATTAATAAGGACGACGCTGGGGTTCAACCACTTTTCAGTTATCATTTACCGTATTTTCGTCTTTTTGGTGCTACAAACTTTTGTTTCTCAATCAATCATACATGTATGTGAATCTAATTTATGCCAGACTGTTAAGATAAACTAATCAGGGAGTACTTCTTAGGGTTCAAGTACTATGGTACAAATTTACACGTTAGACTCGTATCTCACTTTGGGTAACCGATGGTGTTCAAGCAAAAACCCCTTTTTAACTTTTCCAGTTTCCCTATCTTCAACTTTTCATCCCTCTAACTCTATATACTATTTCCGGTTTTTTCATAATCAAAACTCTTTTAAAAAAAAAATTCTTTCCGTCATAATTTAGAAAAAATTTCAAAGAGTGGTCTTTTGGAACTATACCTAACATAAACTAATGAAGCAAATAGACCAACAAAAATCAAATGACAAGAAAATAACAAAAGCAGGTAAATCCCCCAAACTAGAACTAAACATTCTCAGCAATCTTTTACCCAAAGAAAGGGAGGGCAACTCATAGAGAACCTCACCGAAGAGGTGGTGGAGGGAAATACAACATCAGTTGCTACATCATTACTTGCACATTATCTAAAAATGTGCCTTGTCGAACTTATTCTCCTCTCATTGTTGTGGGTGTGACAATTTTAGTGTAAGTAGTCTGGGTGGGTGGTTCAGTATCATCTTCCATAGTTGTACCTGTATCAATGTTAGCAAAATCGGGGTCGTCGTCTTAGGTTATTTGGAGAATTGACTGCCGCTGTATACAACCAGTTTCTTTTAATATCAATCGGTAGGGTTGGGGAGATCAAGAATGGCGGGTGAGGGATTCCATGTCGACCTTAGTTTTCCCTCTACAATACGGTCAACCTCAAGGCGAAGGTGTTCAGCGATGAGGATAATCATTCCTCCCAACGAGATACCACTGGAGGTAGCCCGTGCAACACATCTTAAATAATTGACCGCAAAAGCCGCAGTATTAACAAACTCATTGTTAACCATAAAATGCAGGAAGAAAAGTTCCCTTTGGAAGCAACATCTGTGCTATCACCTCAGCCAAACAAGGTGTAGGCTAATGCCTTATGAATGTACTTGAAAACGCGTTTTGGATTCTATAGGCTTTGAATTGGCGACAGTGTAATCATTACGCTGAAAGATGAAAGCCCAAAAATTAACAAAATCGAACCCTTGTGGAAAATCTCTGGGATAAACGGAGAATTTCTCCCAAGTCCTCGACACTTACTTCAAGGTCTTTGTTGAGCAACTGAAAATAGAGTGACAAAATAACATCTCACTTCTTCTCTAGTTTGAAGCGTAGGGTGCTCAAAAATTTGAGGGTGAGTGGGAGCAAACCAAGAGTAGAGAGAGTTTGCTCACACATGAACCTAGTTGGAGTGAACTTCCGTTTGATTAAGATCAAATATCTCCTTGCTTGATTATCATCCACGAAAATGATGTTGTGAGGATTTGGTGCCCTTGTGCTTCCTCTCTTTTTTGGCCCTTGGGAGACATTTTTTATTTGTGAAAGAGTGAGAAACCAATTTTTTTCTTTTTTTTTGGAATTTGTTAAATTCGAACCCAGAATAGTGTTTAGGGTGAGACGTTGAAAATGTTTTGTGAAGGGTGTTTGTGATTTTGTCTGGTTATAAGGGTAAAGGTGGAGGCTTTAGAATTAAGTTTTAATGCAGTTTTGAAGGTTTTAGAGAGAGAGGTTTGAAGATGTGAAGATGATGGGATTTGGAGAGAGAACGAAAGTGATAAAGTGGGGTTGGAAGGATCAGATTTTTGGTTTTAATTGTATTGAATGAGTTTGATTAGGATGAGAGAGACAAGTGGGGTGGTGACAAGGAGAGAGGTTTTTAAAAAAAATTGAAATTTTTTCTCGCTAGGGCCTGTTACGGTCAATAACAGCTGTTACGGAGAATTTAACATGCCATCCCCATAATTATACATGACACCCCCCATCATGTATGTTTTTACCATTATACCCTTGTGAATAATCACCAAATTTAAAAAAAACATGAATTTTACTGGAAATTTAGAGAAAATTCTGGAAAAAAATTCGAAAAAACCCCAGATATTTCGGAAAATCCAGTACTTCATTTTTTTTACACTATCGGAAATTTCGCAAAAAAAAATCGAAAATTTTGAAAAACTATTGAAAGTTTGGTCCTTATACACCCCCTTAATTTGTTCAGGGACATTTTTGGAATAACGAAAATTGGGGGTGTCATGTATAACTTGAGGAGTGTCATGTTAAATCCTCGCTGTTACGTCTGCCTGTAAGTTGTAACAAGCCACATGTTTTTGTATGAGGTAAGGTCTGAGGGCTTTTACGGCCCGTGACAGCTGTTACGACCGCCCAAGGTTTGGGATCCCTAGGTTAGTTATAAGCGACGGAGGGTCGCACGTTATCGCTAGGTAATTTGAGAACCTTCTTAAGAAGTATGTGGTGAAGCATAGAGTTGCTACACCCTATCACCCACAAACAAGTGGCCAAGTCGAGGTCTCTAATAGAGAGATAATAGCTATTTTAGAAAATGCAGCCTCTCTCTCTAGGAAAGATTGGTCTTCCAAGTTCGACGACGCACTATGGGCATACCGTACTGCTTATAAAACCCTATTGGTATAGAGTTAGAGCACAAAGCTTATTGGACCATCAAAGCCCTCAACTTAGATTATCATGCGGTAGGAGAGAATATAAAGTTGCAATTGAGTGAACTTGAGGAGTTAAGGCTTGATGCCTATGAGAATGCCAAACTCTATAAAGAAAGAACAAAAAGGTGACATGATAAGAGAATCTGAAACCGAGTGTTTAAAGAGGGGAATTAGTCTTGTTGTTTAACTCGAGACTTACGCTCTTCCCCATAAAACTCCGGTCTAGGTGGTCCGGACCTTTTTGTTATGAAAAGTTTTAAAACCTTATGGAGCGGTAGAGATTTAGAGCAAGTCTACGGGCTTGTTCACTGTGAATGGGCAACGCCTAAAGCATTACACCATTGGAGATGTAGTTGAACAAGGGTTGAGTTTGGTTCTTAAAGAACGATCTTGATTGGCAACACTCAAGGACCGTCGAGACATGCGACGTTAAACGAAGTGCTGCGTGGAAGGCAACCCACACTTTTCAAGCTAATCTATTTTCTTGTTTGTTTTTCGTTTTTGTTATTTTCTTTTTCAGTTAATAAACAGGTACTTGCGAAAGGAGGCAAAGAATCAATTTGAGCAGTTGAAAGAGTTGAGAAAAATTGATATAGAAAATTACGCTCGGAAAAATCAAACCAAAACCAAGAAAAAAATGCATAGAAAAATCAGAGAGCTATTACGGGCGGCTGTAACAGCTGTTACGGACCGTAATAGCTGTTACAGGCCGTAATAGCCCCCATACCTTGCCCCATACAAAAACCCGCGGCCTGTTACGGGCGGCCCTAACGAAAAAAATTTCAAATTAAAAAAAAAATCTCTCCTTGTCACCACCCCACCTCTCTCTCTCACATCCCAATCAAACCCATTCAATACAATTAAAACCAAAAATCTAATCCTTCCAACCCCACTTTTTCACTTTCGTTCTCTCCAAATTCCATCATCTTCTCATCTCCAAAACCTTCAAAACTCCATTAAAACCTAACTCTAAAGCCTCCACCTTTACCCTTATAACCACACAAAACCACAAACACACTTCATAAAACGTTCCTAACTTTCCACTCTAAACACAATTCCTGGTTCGAATTTAACAAATTCCAACGAAAAAAATATTTCGGTTTCTCACTCTTTCACAAACCAAAAATGCCTCCCAAGAGAAGTGCAAAGGGAAAGGAACCTCCTGAATCATCAAGGCCAAAAAAGAGAGGAAGCACAAGGGCACCAAATCCTCACAACATCATTTTCGCGGATGATAACCAAGCAAGGAGATATTCGGTCTTAATCAAACGGAAGCTTGCTCCAACAAGGTACATGTGTGAGCAAAATCTCTCTACACAACTAGAGGGTGTGAGATGCTATTTTGGCACTCTCTATTTTCAGTTGTTCAACCAAGACCTTGAATTAAGTGTCAAGGACTTGGGAGAAATTCTCTGTTTATCGATTTATGAACCCGAAGATGTTAATTTTTGGACTTCCATCTCTGGACGCAATGATTA